AAGATTAATATGTATTTTTTAATATAATATATCATTAAACAAATATATATAATATTATAAATAAATTTTTGAATAAAAATAAATAATTATATCATAAAATATTATATAACATTATTATTATATTATTTTTGTATTTAATACTAATTAGCACGATTTTTTTTAATGATAACGCCAAATTAGGCGCATTACAGAAAAAAAGAAAAAAAAAAGAGGTAAATCGGCGTCCGAAAAACACGACGGCATAATTCGCAGCAGTTGAGCTGTTTCCAGCGAAGTAGAAACTCCTCTGACTCCGCCTCTATACAAGGACCACTCTCACCTCCGTCTCTCACTCGCCCCTCCATTTCCTTCTCTCACTTATCCCCGCCCCATTCATTCTCTTCTTCGGCAGCAACTACAATGGCACAACCAGCTGTAATTGCGCCGCCGTTGAAAGATGAGCTTGATATCGTCATCCCGACGATTCGGAACCTGGATTTCTTGGAGATGTGGAGGCCTTTCTTCCAGCACTACCACTTAATTATCGTTCAGGATGGCGATCCATCCAAGACTATCAAGGTCCCTGAAGGATTCGATTACGAGCTTTACAACCGCAACGACATCAACATGATATTGGGTCCTAAGGCCTCTTGCATCTCATTCAAGGATTCTGCATGCAGGTGCTTCGGCTACATGGTGTCAAAGAAGAAGTATATCTACACCATTGATGATGATTGTTTTGTAAGTTGAATTCCTTTGTTCGTCTCCTTTTTTTTTTTTTTTTTTTTTGGGTATTTTGGATCTGGGTAATGGAGTTTTAAGGGGAAGGGTATGGTATGGATCTCAGGATGCTCAAGTTGAAATTCTCTGTTGTGTGAATTTTGACTGCATGTTAAGTGTGTTTTGTTAGTTTTTCCGCCTTTTTGTTTTGATTTTCTTTTGGGTGCTTGCTATTTAGATCTTCGTCTGCTCTGTGTGAGAGTAACCTTCAGGAATTGGTAATGGGATTAACTTCGAGTAACTGTTTTTCCATTTGAGTTTCAAGTTTTGAGATTGTTTAATCTTGGATCTTCAAGTTACATGCTTTCTGAAGGTATTTGGAATTTTAGGTCTGCTCGTTTGAGGTGTTGCTGAGTCCGTGGATGTTTAGATCTTGCTATAGTTGTTGTTTTTGGAGCGGGAATTCTGAATTCTAAAGGAGATAATTTTAGATTGGGGAGAGTTGTGTTTTTACTTAATTTAAGTGGATTTTTTAAAACAGCTTAAGCATCTATTGATCTGTCTTGCCTCGTATATTTTCCTTATATTTCTGGTTTGATCAATCAGCCAGCTGAACAAGGGATATTGTTTCTTTCTCTCCTGTAGCCTTTGTTGTTTTGCCATATATGATGGCAAAATTTTGAAATGTGGGTTGGCTTTTAGTCAAGTCTGATGTGGATCTAGGTAGATGTGTCTTGTTTATCACTTGATTCAGTTTCAATTTTCAGCAGTGGGTTTTCGATCTTAACTCGAACCGTGCAAGAGATCTAGAAGCTCTGTCATTTGCATTGGCATTTCTGCCACTTGGAAATGTCCAAGTCCTACATTCCTATCATGGTTGATTGGTCCCATGGAAGAAAAATGTGTAAACTAGCATTTTTTTCCTGACATCTGCCAATGACACATGTACCTGATCATGTTGCTTGTTTTCGAATTGTCACAATGCTTTGAAACGGAATCTTGTATTCAGATCTGATGCCTGGGGCTTTCATTCTAATATACAGGTTGCTAAGGATCCAACTGGCAAAGACATTAATGCTTTGGAGCAGCACATTAGGAACCTTCTCACCCCTTCAACTCCATTCTTCTTCAACACCCTGTATGATCCATACAGAGAGGGTGCGGACTTTGTCCGTGGATACCCATTCAGTCTCCGTGAGGGTGTTCCCACTGCTGTGTCTCATGGTCTCTGGCTCAACATTCCAGATTATGATGCTCCCACCCAGCTTGTCAAGCCCCTTGAGAGGAATACTAGGTATAAATACCTTTCACCTTAGGTTAGGTGCATAGTGTATGCTCATATAAATTAACTTTTAATCCTGCACACCTATTCTCTGCCAGGTACGTTGATGCTGTCATGACAGTGCCAAAGGGAACTCTCTTTCCCATGTGTGGTATGAACTTGGGATTCAACCGTGAATTGATTGGCCCTGCTATGTACTTTGGACTCATGGGTGATGGTCAGCCAATTGGACGCTATGATGATATGTGGGCTGGTTGGTGCATGAAGGTATCTTGCATCTATATTGCTACATTTTTCTTGATTTTTCAGTGTTACCGATCCCCTGCCATGCCTGGACTGCATTGTTTATCGGCTTGCTTGTCTATGCTAATAGCCATTTCCTTGTATTTACAGGTTATAGCTGACCACCTAGGATTGGGAGTGAAGTCTGGACTGCCTTACATCTGGCACAGCAAAGCAAGCAACCCCTTTGTTAATCTTAAGAAGGAATACAAAGGAATTTACTGGCAAGAAGAGCTGATCCCATTCTTCCAATCTGTCTCCCTTCCAAAGGACTGTACCACCGTCCAGAAATGCTACTTGGAACTCTCCAAGCTAGTTAAGGCAAAACTCGGCAAGGTTGATGACTACTTTCTCAAGCTAGCAGATGCCATGGTGACATGGATTGAGGCATGGGACGAGTTGAACCCATTAGAAGCAAAACCTGCTGAGTTATCCAACGGTGCATCCAAGTAGACTTATCCATATAGAATAGTCATCTATGGTACCTACAGGCTTATACCTCCGGCATTCGTCTATTTTGCCCAAGCAAAGCTTCAAAGCTTGGATTTATTTATTTATCTTACAGTATTTATTTGCCATAGTTTATGAGTCTAGAACAATAAGATGGTATCGGCTTCTGTGTGCTCTATGAGAGGTGAGTTAGCTGGTATTTAATTTATTAAAACAATGATTGGAATTATCACATTAAAGTAAGTTAATTACAAAGGGGGGTTTTTTTTTTTTAATTGTCTTTTCATGGCTTCATTGTTTTTATCAGTTTGAACCAAACCAAACTAACCTACCCTGTCCCTTTTTAACTTCCGCTTCCCCGCATCACTCCTCTCGCCCTTAAAATCGTTCCTCTTTTCAACTGCTGTCTTCATTTCACTCACATCCAGACAGGGCATCAAGCAAGCAAGAACTTACAGAAGGGCTGTTTTTATTGCTTCATAGATCGTTTTGTTTACTAAAAGGATCTTGGCTGAATTGGTAGTCATTAATTTAAAAACTTTAATTTGAAATTAAGATTGGAAGTTCGAACCAAAAGAACATGGATGCTTGACATATTCCATTATTTATGTTTTAATTGGTATTGTATTAAACAGTATGGAATTGATTAATTTAGTACCAGTTCAAAAATGTCAAAAAACACAGTACGAAAGTTTTTAAGTTCAAATACCTTGGGTCCTAAAGGGGGTCGATTCAAAGTCCAGAGTGCTAACCACCACACCATAGAACCTCATTTTTGCTTATCTTATTGTCAAGTAAGCACCGTACAAGGATAAAAATTTAGCAAATAAAATTTCAAATGTTTTCTCCAGGACGCCCTTTGCTAGAAAGAGTTAATTAAGGTCATGCCGTTGCCGGGGATCAAACCTGGGTCGCCCGCGTGACAGGCAGGAACACCCAATGCCATTTGCAAAATAAATTTAAACCCATAACTGAACTCACTCATGTGACCTAATAAATGGGTCACGCTACTCTAAGATTTGAGTAGTAGATGGTGCTCACCCAGGTTCGACTCTGATGTTGAATTAAAAACAAATACTAACTTGTAACAAATGTTTCCCTTGTCCAAAAAAAAAAAAAAAAAAATTTAACCCATAACTAAATGAATAGGTATTCAGCATTTCCATAACTAGGAAAGAACTTTCATTTTCATAGGTTCTGTTATGAATTAATTGTTTTATCAGTGCTAATCACTGATCTTGTTATTCTTTGCTTAGCATCATGCAGCGGTGTGTAAACCACGTCTGAATTGTGCATGACACCTTACACATAGCTGGGGGGTTCATTCTTCCTCAATATTCCCTAATTAACCCGACCGTTCCGAAACTACCTCCCTAAATCATCAGGTCACATACCTTCCTTGCTGAAGACCGCACTGCTATGACAAAAAGAGGCACCTTCTGAGCACACAACAAGATCACAAGAACACAAGAAAGCTAATAGATTGAAATTTAACATATGAAGAACCATATAACACTTGAAAGAATTCAGGTTGGGTAATTGACAATGAATTCAGCAGTTAAAAGTAACCCATTATGATTTACACCGACAAATATCAGATTTGTTGATGAAATTCTATCAAGCAGACTTGGAGACAATAATTATTCACTGTCTTGAAAAGATTGACTTCCTGGTTGTAGCGGCCTGAAGGACGCTGAAAAGGCCTTAAGCTGTTAGCAGCACGTAGGAAGGGCAGCTTAAAATCTCAGCTCTTTGACTTGCTTGCTCCTAATGATTCCATTGTCTTTAAGACTAATGATCAACATGGTTATCTCCAGAACGGTTACTGAGTGTATTTTCGTACCTTTCCTCCTATGACAATGGAAATACAGTCACTTAACCTTATAATACAAGACAGTATCAAGGTAGAAAACTATCACAGCTATAGAAGGCAAGTAAAAAATTTTAGCCAACAAAGAAAAAAGAAGAAGCTAAAAGAAGAAGAGATGCATTATCTTGGACTTATTGCCTCTTCATTTTAATTTGGCAATGATGGAGTTGCCATGGTAGTAATTGCCTCATTTTTATTTGATATTCTGCTCCTAATCACATAAAGTCCGACAACCAGGAAGAGTTCATGCTTCATGCTTCAAGGAAGATCATCATCCGCACAAGTTATCATTAAGTCTACAATTCTAGTCAATAGCTACTCTATATCCAGACTTCCTTTTAGTCAGAGTTCTTTTTATAGCTGTTCTAGTTCAAGTTTTGAAAGGTATATACTGGATCATTCGTCTGATACTAGTCATGGTACAAGATTCAAGCGAATCTAATAATTCTTTCTCATTAAAAGCCAACATTTAGAGGACAGCATGCAGCAGTTTGCAAAATCTAAAATTAACAATTCTCCTCCGTACTTTCCTTAACTAGTTGTCATTTAGTCATCACATCAAAAGTGATGTGGTAATGAAATCCAAAAAGGATTTTTTTTTCTTTTCCTTTTTTTACCTTCTATGTAATGGACGCAATCCGGAGGCAGAAGAAAGCATATCACTTTTCCTGCTTCACCTGCATGGATTGTCTTTGATGCTCCACTCGCTGAAGCTGTGATGAAAGTCGTAGCAAGTCAATAGTTAAACTCTCTTCACATGATAGGCGATCTTTGGCATTCACAAATTCTGATCCTTGGTAAATCCCATCAATGATATCAAAATTGGCAGCTTCACTATCATCAGATATCAGTATGGAACCTGAACCTAAGTGACTCTTTTCAGTTGAATTCATCCCTGATGAAGAGAACTTGTTGGATACTGTACCTGTTAAGGGCTGTGAAGTTCCTCCTATGAGTTTTTCAGAAACTTGACTCATACTGAAATGGGTATTGCTGCCTGGTAAAACCAGGGGATGAGCAAAGGGATTTCCTGATGAGTGGCTCAAAGCATTCTGTGATTGAGATGACAGAAGAGAGAGAGCACAGCCAGCTTCTGAAATCCCAGATAATCCTTGAATGTTTGATGCTGTATCAAAAACGCTGAAGTTTTGACCTCCTGGGAAGGTGTGTTGGAATGGAGGCTGTGATCCAGAATTTGGGCCTCCAAACTCGTGGGAATATCTAGCATTGCTCTCATTAGTCAAAGTGATTTCATTGTATGTATGACTTACACTGTCATGGAAAGGAGGAAATAGTTTTTCAAAATCACTAGGAGGGAAGAGTGATTTTGAATGAAGCCTGTTTGCAGTGGGAATGGCTGGCCGAGGGCTATAATCAGTCCCATCTTCAACTTTTATATGCTTGCACCAGTCATTCACTACATATTTCTCAGGATGCAAAAGGCCATTGGGTAACAAATCTTGGCAGATGAAGGATGTTGTTAACGCACTCCCTTGAAAACTGCTACCTGCAAAGCCTGCAATATGTTCAGAAAACTCCTAAAACAAATGATACACAGAATATTCATTCTTTTGGTACAAGAGGAGAGGACTGACTCAAACTTATATGATGGGCAAAGCAACATACAACCATTTCTCTATCTCAAGGGAAACTATTATAAAATAAGTTTTATGCTTGGCTATAACTTCTTCATTTTGTCTTTTTATACAAAGAACCTAATTATTTATGTTCACACAACAGTATCTTTTAGCAGGCTTTCTGAAAAATACCAAAAATCTAGTGAGATTCAGCTTACAACAAAGAAACCCCTTAAATTTTCACCTTAAGAAATGGAAAGTTGAATACATCTATATATGACCTTGCCCATTGAAAATTAGGTATATATGCACACAAGGATTGTATGACTAAATCAAACCAGTTGTGATGCATGTTCAATACCATTATATGACTGAAGCAGCCTCCCCGTCCTTCCAGAATGAATACCAACTTGAGGCTTTCTCCGACGCTCATTGTGACCAGCAAGGCGTTTACGGCAGCTTCGCTTGCCATCATCAAATTCAGCCAGCAAATGAAACCTGAATGGTCAAAAGCCAGTACATATTATATTTATAGCAGCATTAAGACTCCTGCACTGGAATAGAGCCAAGGTCTACAATAATAAAGCCCAATCCAAAATTATGTAGTACTACACAAAACCAGGCCATTCTTCATGGAAGTAGATTTTATAGTTTTCCTGAAACTCCAAAACTCATCTATAGTAGAGAGAACTAGAGAATGACACCGAAATATATATTGAAAAAGTGCAAGAAAGGAAACTAAGATGAAAGGTCTATTATTGGTCTCATAACTGGAATTCATCAATAAAATCAAGAGATCCATGTAGGAGAACCACTTTGCCAAGAAATATACAGAAGCAAAACATGAAAAGGGAAAGGGTACATTAGAAGCAAACTTCAGGAGAAGATAAAACAGGATGCAACAATTAAACGACTACAAGGTCCCCACTGCCCTCTGTGAGTTTCAAAATAGCATTAGAAGAAGGAACGAGATTTGAAGCAAATAATAAAATATTTCGTGTTTTCTTCTTTGGTATTTATTAATTTTTTTCTCTACCATTTCATGACAGTTTACGGTTTAAAAGAACGATACTGAGGCTTAAGTGAAGCAAAACAAACCTGCTACATTGTTGGCAAAACCTTTGTTCAATGCCATTGACAATAACTTTTGCAGTCTTTGAGTGAATTTCACAAACTTTATGCCTCCTATGGTAGTCCTTTGCAGAACTTAGATCCTTGTTACAACCATATACTTGGCAATAGACAGTGAGAGAATTTAGCCCCGTTGCTCGCACTCTCTTTGGGGGTGTAGATGACTCAGATGAAGAGAGAATGGGTCCTCCTTTGGAAAAGCTAAAATTTTGATCATCTCTAGGATCGGCAAACCTCCCCAGCTTTAAATCTACGAGTGAAGAATCCCTACTGTAAGAGTCCACCACAGAGCTTGAAAGCTTGGAAGGGGGCTCATCCTCCGCTGAAAGGTAATTCAGAGTACCCATAATAGGATTTAGAGTACTTCCACCACTAATTTTACTGCTTAAAACATCTCCAATTGAACCATTGGTCAGTTGTTTCCCTATCAGTTCTCCATAACTCAATTCTCCAAAAGCGTGATTCTCACTACCTTGTTGACCTGAGATGAACATGTTGTTGCCAAAACAATATGGACCTTTCAATTCCCAGTTCATCAATGCACTTCTACTTCTTGCAACTGAATCAGAAGGTGATAATCTTGAATCAGAAGAAAATCCCCCCTTCTCCCCAGAAACATAGCACCAAGACTCCATTACACGCAACAGAACCACTGATTCTGAAATTTTATAAAAACTCAGTTTAGTTCAAACAAGAAAACTTTCTTTAGCTTCACCTAATTAACACATCTCTTTCCAAAACCTCAGCTGATCCCATGAATTTTTATGGTCAACCACTGAACACAACCCAGAAAAACCCAACTCAAGAGCACGGGCAGAGGAGAAGCCGGGAATCATTCTTCCTTGGAGCATCAAATTCTGGAGAATCTGAATCCCTGATCACAAAATGCATATCAAAAACAGAAAAACCATTAGAGAATCAGAAACTCAGACAAAACCAGTAAAAACAAACACTTGACAACCCACTTCTATTCAATCAAGAAAAAGCTCATGGAACAAGTGACCAAAACAGTACCCAATGCAAGACTGCAAATTTGTGACACAGAACTCAAAGAATGCAGGAAAAAACATACATTCCACATACTTGAAAGGGGAAGAAAACCATATGATAATCAGCAGAAAAAAGAAGATGAACAAAAAAAAAAAACCTAAAGGTTGCCCAAATGATTGAGTAAAGGAGTGTACTTTACCAGTCCACAATGAAGTATAGTGGTACAATGGAATGGTGAAGGGCAGAGAACCTGACTTAGAGAAAACGATTTATAGGTGTCCCAAACTCCATGGAAGATTAGAGCTTTATGGTTGCTATATTTAGAAAGGAAGAAAGCAAGCAAAAGGAATTAAAGGCTGCTTTTATCTCAACTTTGCAATGTTCACTCTCCAGGTTTTGCTCTGATATTTGTACATGACTTTTTTGTATTATTTTAATGGAAAGAAGAATATCTCAATCCCCTCAACTTACGCCATTTTTGTAAATGAACCCTTCGACTTTTTAAAGCGAAAAAATCCCCCTCAACACCTCAGGCCTTGCAAATTAGCCCAAAGTAAACGGAACGGAGTCAGTTTTCGCCGCCCGCGTGCCTTTCTTTTCCATGTTGGAGGCCTGGAGCTGACTGCTGAGATGACTTGTTTAAC